CGCAATAGTCTCTCGAGCATAGACCAACAACGATGGAAGGAAACTATGGTTTTATTGGGAGGCGTGTATTAGGGCTGTCATGCGTTGTACGGCGTATTATCCGTCAGGGTCTGCGATAGATTGGGAACAGCATAGACCAACAACGAAGAATGGAAACTATGGTTTTATTGGGAGGCGTGTATTAGGGCTGTCATGCGTTGTACGGCGTATTATCCGTCAGGGTCTGCGATACAGCGATTGGGAACCATAGGGCTGAAGTTTTAGCACTTCATCCGTCTGGAGAGTGGCAATCAACAAAGATTACTTTGCTTGGTCCATGGAGGTTGCTTTAGCGGGAGACTTACGGATCTGTCCCAGAAGACGACATGCTGAGAGGAAGACCACTTTTGTTCAGTCTGATTTAGTGAAGGATTAGTCTAGAATAGAAGATTCGTCCGGCTGAGAAGCTGAAGCCACGTTTAAAACAAACCTGCATGTGTCGCGATTGGTCACGTGCCTACCTGGTGTCTCAGTGAAGGGAAAATCAAATCACAAGGCTTAATTTCTCGATCTTTGTTGGTTGGAGAATTCTGCTCTTCAAAGAAAACTACGATGATCTTTGCTGGGCACTGCAAGAGGATCGCCGTTTGACAATTATTGATTTTAACCCGCAGCTCACTGAATCCGACTTAAATGGTCTTCAAAGGCAGAAAGATTGGGCGTAGCTAAACGTGACCTACATGCAAGTCCTCGGCGTTGATTTACCAAGAAAAAATATTCCTTATTGCGTTGACACAACATCCTTGGTGCAAATTAGGAGCTTTAGGGTTCGGTCATCAAACTCAATCGTGGCTAAGTGTTTAGAACGAATGAACACGTCTATCCGCTCACCAGAGTGTTTGCAAAAACAGGGTTTTGAAAAACAAATTGGAAAAATGTGCACTTACCTCAAATGAGAAAACAAACTTGATCCGAAAAGAGTGCACACCAACGATTAGACTCGCTTATATTCCAATAGGCTTCCATTGTCGGTCAATCACTAAGCAACTTTGAGTTTAGCCTATTCGGAGCTCGGAAATTTGTTCACCAACATATCCCCCAAACCAAGGGCATCGACTCCGGTGCTCGTAATTGCGGTGTGTGATCGGAGTCGACCCCATAATGCATACGAACTATCCGAAAACCCGAGTAAACTGAAATGTGATTTATTCCAAATCACTGGCCTGGATCATGCCCACAAAACTGTGTAACATTTCAGTAGATCGGATCACAGGACAGAAACAGTCACCACTGTACTAGTTCTGGTCAACAAGACCACCTAGGCTCCATTAGATTCACGACAGGTTGGATGGTGCTGCTCCACTGGTTATGAATTTAGGTGAACGTTTACAAGGCTTGTGCTGTATTCATGTCACTAACTGATACCCTAACACACGCGTATGCGCAAACCCAAAAATGAGCTGTACGAAACACACTACTCATGAGGTTTTTCGAGTAGTTGGTTAGTCCACGACCGGATTTGTCCGCCTCTCTCGAGGCTCATCAGATAGACGAAGCTCCCGTGTTCCCACCACCTTTATGTTGTAGTAGGAATCAAGACCTCATTTCTGGAAGTTATCGAGGCATTCCATCTTGCATCCGACGTTTCGATTAAGTTGAACGCGTAGGTCACATTTAGTGGCTGATCCATGGTGAACTAAGCCATCAAAGCAAAGCAAACTCATTCACCACAGTCCCTGAGGAATCCTTTCACAAGAGTTCATCAGCAGGGCAAACGCGATCACTGAAGGGGCGAGAGACTTCAAGATTACGACATAATTTAAAATATTGTAATAGCTAGGTCAGCAGCCCATAGGATCCTTTGATAACCGACCCCACAATTTTCGAAAGAATTTCGAGATCCTCGTCAACTTTGCGTTTCGGATCTCATTCACTTTGAGGACACTACAGTGAACTGGACAACACACATCAAACTCAGTTCCATTGGGTCAGATGACCCCGAACTACCAGTGACTAGTCAGCATCTAGCAATTTACTACCTACCTACTAGGTCCGAACTTCTGGAAACTTACTAAACTGTATTATGTCGAAATGTGTTGAAAGGTGTTCACATAATGATTTGTTCCGCTCCCACTGCTTTTGCCGGACAGCAATACGCTATCTGCCTGCTCTGTGTGCCACCGTTGTATACAGGCCAGAAGAATGAGGGAATGTTTCACCACTGACGATTTTTGAGTGTAAATGAACCTGTTTTTTGGCGCACACTTAGAATCAGCCCTGAATTTGGTGTGAGGAGATTTGGAATTCTCATCAAGTATCCTATCCTTCCAGCGAAGCCCATCGGTTTTTCAATCCAAAAAGCAGTGCGGCAACATTTCACGGTTATTTGGGAATGCTTTTGAAGGGCATCCAAGTTCACCACTGAACACAAGGGGTTGGAAATAATAGAGAATGTGGGAAAAGTACTTTGGACGGCATCGGAGTTTCTGGCGGAAGACGAATGTGTTCCAACTTGATATTTGCCCTAGGATGCTCTAGAAAATTGAATAGAGGGAAATTTTGTAGCGTAGTCAAATTCAGGAATTCAGGGTCTATTCAGTACGCAATCCGTAACGAATGACATCGTGTTCTTAGAGAAATACACTCATTTGGAAACTAATTTGGTTTTGCGAGAGACTCACCTGGAACACAGCTGAACCTCTTGTTTGTGATGTTTCCAGGCAACTGAACAAATACAGTTCGCTAATTTCGTGCAATTTGGTTTTAATTAGAACATAAGGTTGACGGAAACCCGGGGACTGTGCCTACCTGATGAGCCCCAAGAAGGGCGAAACCGGTCGTGGGCTGTCGAGGGATTTTCAGCAATTTTATGAGTAGTACATTACAAAGCCAGATCTTGTTAGGCAAAACTAACCTCCCTTTTTTCGGAGAATGTCATGGTAACCGAAAAATCAAGCCTCAGTGTGACAGTATTCCTTCGTTTCTGACCTATTAGTTCCCTTTATAATGAAGTGCATAGTACGGGCCCGACTGGATACGGTCAAATAACCCAGAATTGTGCGGTTATGTCCCGGGTTCATCCACTTATGTATTTTGGCTTCTTAGGAGTTTCGTGAGATGCGCACTGCTAATGATTCCCAATAAGGATGAAACAGTGCTTCTCGGCTTTTCATCATAGATTGGCTTCACATACAGGACAAAATCTCACACTACCATCAATCTCTAAGTAGTTCAGTGGAAGAATAAACTTCACCCGATGAGTGAAACTTCTGTCTGAGAAGTCGTTGCTCGAGGAGCCAGTCAACACGTGTGACCGCGTGATGTGGATCCCGTGATTGAAGGATGAGCGGCGCTATATCCTGTCTAAGTGCGAGTTAATCACACTGCTGATCAGCCGCTCGTGGCCGAACTGTCTAGTGTTCAAACTACTAGACGGGAGGTCGTGGGTTCGAGACTTTCCAGAGTTTCTTGAGATGGCCACTGCTTATGATTCTCAATAAGGATGAAACAGCGGCGCAGTGCTTGTCGGCCTTCCGGCATAGATTGGCTCTACTTACAGGACAAAATCTCTACAAAGATCCCAAATCTCCTCACACTTCCCTTTATCAAAAAAAGCAGACTGATAACCGAAAGCCCAAAAGCGGACTACCTCAGATTCTTGTGTTGGCTAATCGGAAAGACGAATATAAGAAAATTTTTATAAGCGGTGTTGAAACGAGAATCGTTCTGATGCAAATCCCCGTCTCTACGACTAATCACGTTGGTCAGAACAAGCTTGGTGTGGCAGTCACTGCCTTGGAATTCCTGGGTTAGTTGCTCTTCCGTTTCGGTATTTTGTCTAACTGCATATTCTGCTGCGCAAAATGATCGTCCGGACTTGCGAAAACGGTAGGTAACTCCGGGTAACATCGCTTGCTGTTCATGGCTTACCAAGCCTTTCGGGAATAAAACTCACTGAGCTGACCTGTTTTCAAATGACCGTACGCAGTGAGTCCCTGGATAGTGGCGGAAAATCATACCGGAAATATCGGAAGACTGGATGGGAAACATTGATAAATTTCAAGTAATATCAAGTTACAGGCACTGTATCTGAATAATTCGGCAGTTTACATCAGGCATAATGACCGTGAATTCATCATCCCCAGAGAGTGACTGAATCACAGCACACAGCCAATTTAATATATGAACACTTAGAATCAATCATTCACAAGCTGAGTCCACGGCTCAAACGTGAGCCTATTCAGCAGGTTATAACTGGTTGAAACATTTTGAAGACAACACAAGATAGGGAATGGGAACAATATGCACACAGCAACATACGTATAACAAAAAACACTCTGGCTGGTTCAGAACGCGTTCGCGCATTTGCTACCAGTGTAACGGTGGGTGCTACTGACGAGGCATGCCAGTAGTGTGTTTTCTTCTGAAAAGTGATCTAATACGGGATTCGTGGAGTCGCATTTGCTTGAATTGGAGCAACAGTCAATGAATATCCAGGAAAGTTCAGGAAGACGCGTTCAAGAGGAGACGTATATTCAGTTTTATAGGCCAGATTTATATGAGAGTTTTGCTTCCCTGTTCAATAGTCTGTAACTGTTCAGTTGGCGTTTATCTAATAAACAACTCCGCAGCGAAGGCCTTCTTCTTTTCACCAGCACCCAACGATTCAGAGTACAGCGTACGAATTTGCGTGGTTACCACGTACACAACATGATTGTATTCACGAGAACGAAGAAGGTAGCGAACAAAGCTTGTTTTCTGTGATCGTTCCTCTTCGCTAATACATCACAAATTTATGTGGTACCGGAAATCACGTGGAAGAGCTTAAGATCGGGGCTACATACACTTTAGAGAAACTAAAATCAAAGGAAGTGAGGTTGGATGAGGGAAAGGTCAGTGGGTCACAGAATCAGGTAAGTGACGTCAGTGGCAGACAGGCTTCTTTCGGATGAAGATTTGCGGATCCAGCACTCGGATTCCGATTGCCTGGATCGTACCAGTCGTGATCGGTTCAGACGTACCCGGTATATGACGGTGAAGGCTTTCTCCTCGTCTATGACATGACTGGTTTTGGCCAAACGTGATGTAATCAAGCTTAGGCCTGGTTTCTCCCAACTACCACTCAGAGATACGGGGTTGTGTTTTGGCATTCTGTCCGACAAATGCCTCATCGTACGACCAACGTTTGCGGCTCGGCACAAGCATACATGTCCGATTTCCGTAAATGTTGAATGCGATTTTGTTGCAGATCTCGTGCCAGGAAACGTGATCATGCAATCTTGACACGTTTCCATTAAAAATCAACACACACCTGTCACGCACATGTGATCATAAGTTGTCGTGGAGCAAATGGTGACCCAAAACACGGTTTCTAATTTTGACGAAATTTTGAAAATGTACTTTAAGCTAAGCAGTGTGGCTCAGGAGACGTGATTTTTCACACCATTCGTTGCCTCATTGTCCTTGTGACTGCTTCGTCGAAAAACACCGCTTGAAGTGACAATTTGAAAATATCAGTAACATGCATCCTCAGTATACATTTACGCTGATATTCCTTAGTCTTGTGATCCTGTCGTTCCACAAGTTATTCACTTGCTCCCTCGAGTAACCTCGATTCTGCCCCGTCCTTTTTTCGATCGTACTTTAGGATATTCACGTGTTGTTGACAGGATTTTGAGTTGCAGTTACGATATTTTCATGTGAATTGAATCCAAATGTGATCGATTTTCCAGAATCAGGGTGAAGCCTTTTATTTCTGGTTGGGAATCATCAGCAGCAGATATTTTACTAAGCGGTTGACTCAGTAAAAGAAGGAGTGTAGCTTCAGCCAGACAACTGTCGCGGAATTCACATTCCTTGATCATGTGTTTAGTGACGACTTCTCGGATGAAAATGTCACTCTTTTCATAATTTTTCCTCTTGGATACATATATTTTGTCTGTATTAAGAAGAATCCGTAAAATTTTAGCCAGATTCCATACCCTGAAGGCTTTCTAGCGAATCCTATGTAAAATCCTGTAAACCCGATTGTGCACTAAAATCTATCTTCACTGACGAAGGTCAACTTGCGCAGACGATGCGTACATTACCTTAGACGACACAATGAAGTACTTCCAGGTCTGACTTGTGGGCTTTCAATTGAGCGTGCGAAAATTGAACGCCTTCTGAGATAGACATCGAATGACCATATTTACGCAACTACTTTTTTAACTGGGAGTAGTGTAATTTTATCCAGCAAATCGTCAGGCCATGTCCTTCAATAAAACGTGAATGGCTGCAAGCACACGCCATTCACGTCCCAACCAATAACGAATGAAGTCGTTCTTGACTATGTTATCATTCTCTCAGACGGATGAGTAATTTCCCGATTTGGGTCGGAGTCAAATGGAGCAATTCTAGATGATTCAGTATTCACAGCGGTCTCGGTGTATCTTCCAAAAGTAGTAACCGATGAATTAAGGAGAAGCTCTGGTGTTGTGCAGTTCATTGAGTTTCGAATGTTCCGCACGAATAAGTAGCTTCCAGGAACGGAAAAAATTCAAATGTCTTCTAAGAGGTGAACTATTTTCGTTAGGGGATTACTCTGGGTTTAATTGTTGTGATTTCGCCACACCAATTTTATTAGGCAACAGTTTTTCCTCATTTCGGGCATTTAGCGTAGAGGATAACCTTTCTCCGACAGTTGTTCACTCTTCAGCTAGTACTCAGTTCAAGGCACCTCTGGGCACCTTTTCAGTGTAGTCCGCGCGCTAGTAATCTTTCTGGCGTGCGCTGAGAATTCAAAGAGCAGTGCTATACCGTTTTTTGCTTGGGTTTCCAAGGTGAACACAACCCTCTGAGAGATGTGCACATACTCGATTCGGGGAATAATCCGACGAGTGCAGCCTCGACCACGTAGGACTTTGTGGCACAAAGTTCTAGTGGGATGAGCGTTGTGGCCCCTTATCGTTTCACTCGAAACCTGCAGCGGACAATTGCATGATCGACAATGTATTCCATCATGTGCGGCTGAAACTGGCACTTGGGAATGAAGCGTTTTCCCAGATTTGTTTCACTGCGGACCTTACTGTGAATAAGCAACCAGTATTGAATCACGAGTGATAAGTCGTTTGTGTATTACAGTTTTTATACATCCCTCCTGTCGAATCTGGCTTCTCTTTACGGACACAATTCAGATACGCAGTTTTTCCAGGGGGCCTCCAAAAGAACATATATTGTCAAACCAGAAAGTACAGTTTTGGGTGTCATCTGCTTTAAAATAACTAGATACAACCGCTGTATCTTAGCACCATGAGCCGATGAGAGCTTATTATGATAGAGGCTGGTTACCAAAAATCAAAGTCCTACTTTTCGCAACCACTGACCTTGTAGGTCTACCTTCGACGCAAATTCAGAGTATGCATGTTCCTGGAAACAGTGTTAACCTTTTGGGTTCGGCGGGATCGATACACTTGTTCATAGTCACACCACTCTTGTTTGAACGGTCTTCCCCTGTTATGGCGTAATTATTCCGGTGGGCACTGTTTTTAATTTTGCCTGTAGCCAAAAGATCGCAACAGCCTGCAGAATACTGAAGCGCCATTTTTTCGAATAAAATTTGACCTGTTGCACAGGAGGCAAGGTTTTTACTGGTTTGCTTCTAATCCGTAAGTACCCGAAACTTCAAGGGGGCAACGGCAGACTCACACAGTGTTAATGAGCAGTCTTTAACTATGCAGAGTAATCTAATGATTTCATAGAGGAAACTATTTACACAAGGTTGCTGAAAACTCTTCGAAAGCCCACGACCGGTTCCGCCCTTCTTGGGGCTCATCAGGTAGGCGGAGTCCCCGAGTTTCCGTCAACCTTATGATCTACTTGAACCCAAATCGCACTGTTTTTGTGGGCTGTCGTGGGCTGTCGAAGAGTTTTCAGCAACCTTGTGTGAGTTGTTTCCCTTATGAAAATATACTGCGATATCTCGAATATCGTGCCAACTGAATCATGAGGCGGCCTGTGTGCAGCACATTCAGCTGGAGGACATCATAAACGAGAGATTCAATGGGATCTCCCGTGAAAACCAAATCTAATGAATTCAGTTTTAAGAATTCGAGAAGCAAATGCGGAATAAAAGAGTTTGATTAATTCTCACAGATCTAAATGAAATGTTGCTCCACAGAGGTCCCATCGGTCGTTTTTTTACTCCATTTATATCCATGCAGGACAGTAATGGCTCACCAAAAAATAACAGATTTTTCTTCCCAGTTCTCTGGCAGGGGGATATGAACATGGATTCTTCTGTTTACAAAATATGATGACGCGGAATCCCACCTAATCAATTCTTGGATGAGAGATATAATTTCGCTGTCAAACTAATGGGCGCTGATCAGAACGAATGTATAGCATTTAAACCCAATTTTGCATAGATTTGAATTTCTTAATCTAGAATGATTCCTAGTAAATATCTATTGAATATTTTCTCCATAAATTTAGTAGCAAATTTAGCTGAGGACCCGTTGTTCAGCAAGGTTATGGGTGTTGTCAGCCTGATGCATCTCGTGATATGATATACGCCGGTTCAAATGGGGTGGTCCATAGGAAATGGGTCTCTGTGCTGCGCCAGTTGAACCCAAGCTAGAGGTATAAGTAAAGAGGTCCACGTGAGGTCATTCTGTCTGATATTCAGTAATCCTGAGGGTGGAACGCATGCGGGGAATGGTAATAAAATGGACATCTAAACAGACACGCTTAACGAATTGTCCCAAAATGTTTAACCAGAACTAAAGAAGGCGATTTTAACCAGCGATGAGCACACCAAGAATGATTTCCATTTTACATTCACGGGTTTGAACTTACTGCCGCACCCAAATGTAATGGCGCATCGGCCTCTTTGTTCGTCATCTGCAATAAATTTAAAGCGTTTTTTATTGACGAGCGCAACTTGATTTGTGTTAGTTTGGCGTACGCATTATGTAAGTCAGTTGTTATCCATCGTCACATTTTTTACATTATTTTCCGGTGTAGGCAACTCTTTTGGTTATACAAGAAACAACAGATGTTTCTAATCGGTAAGCTTGGTGTTTTCACCTGACTGTATAAGTGATTACACCCCTGATGTATAAAATAATATGATTTCAATAACGTAAAAGTATTTTTCCTTCAGCAAACGATTGGACTGTCCGAGCGTGTTGTATCTGAAGTCTAGAAGTCTTGAAACAAAATCTTGTAATAACGGAGTACGAAGTATCTCATAATAAACACAAAATTTGGTTGGGTGATTTAACGTAGCCAATAGAAGAAAAAATAACAAATTGTTTCATTCTTTGTAGGTACATAGAGAAGCTTTTGAGATTAATTGTTAAACTTTTTTCAGGCTACGATGTATGTCAGTAAGCGCACTGAAATTGTGAAACTCTATTATTCCCTTGGTGAAAGCGCCACCGCCGCACTTCAT